CGCTGCATGTTATAAGGTCCTACGAGACTGGCTTTCTGCAACCACGCGGCCGTGAGATTGCCGTAGAGCTCATTCACCTGTCAGAGCTCAGCATGTCAAGTGAAGCGTGTCTTGCACTCAAAGCTCTCTTCCCGAAAGGTTTTCAGCAAGATGACGGTTTATTCGCAGGCCTACCTGAGCTACCACCCAGTACCTGTAACCGGGTATCCCCAAGCATCGAACGGCTCCTTCTCCAATCTCGCAGGAATTTGGAACGAACGAAAGCAACGTGATTAGATCAGCAGCGTACCGCAGCTAAGTCAGATAGAGGACTTACACATTTCAATGGCGTTGTGGGGCGCACTAAACTACAACTGTGTTGAAGTTCCCTCGGCATGACCATTCACTTATCCAGGCCTCTATACTAGACGTGACTGAGCCCGGCCAGGAGCAGGGAAGCTGATGGATAAACCCTAAGCCTGAAACCTCAGCACAAGACTCTAGTCCCTGAGCCCAAAGCAAGAACCTTACACCAGTCCTTACATGCTGAGTTCTAAACTAAATCAAAACTCCTAAAACCGTTCCCCTTCCGACACATGGAGTGGCAGCGATCAGGATTCGGAGCTCTCGGCTGCAGCTTGGTGTGCAACAAGAGGCCAAGCGGAACCGTAAACTTTGAACCCTGAATAGTGGCATTATGAGCATTAACGCTTTTCGGATAGAACAGCTTAACGATGTGAGTTTCGAGTTTTTAGATTCTAATTCTTGTTTTGGGAGTTCCGAGGGTGCTTCGGCTTGAGGCTCCTATTCAGAGTTTCGGGTTTCTGTCACGCCGTACATTTGCATCCCAGTCGCCTGCAGGGCACCTTCAAGCTCGAGGATGTTGACCTCTGCATACGACTGCGAAGCAGCCCCAAACTGCCCTAACCTCCTTTTAGGAACACTACGAAGGAAGAAGCCCTTTATACACCTAAACGATCTTTCGTAGAAATTGTCTGAAGCCCACAGCACTGCAGCGGGGGCACCAGCATCACATGAAGAGCTCCATTGTCTGCCGAACTAAAACCTGGTCTGTTGATTCAGGCTTCTTCCAAAAGAAAGGTCGTAGGATCTAGGGCCCCTAAACCCCAAACCCCTATATTTAGGGCTTATCGCCGTAGGGATGTCATGAAGCTCAGCTTCAGAACCGAGCGTCTTCGAGTCCTTACGCTTCAGATCTTTTGGGGCCTTTTCGCGTTGCAGGGCCTGGGGGCTCCTTCGTAGGGAGGGCTTTGGACTCCCCTCGCCAAGGCCCTGAGGACAAGAAATTGCGGCTGGAATGGGGCTCTAAGGGTACATATTATAGTGCAAGTAATGCTATAACTTTATAACTGCTAAGCAGTCCGACCTCTATACTCAGCCTTTGAGAAACCTGATCTGCACTGCGGCCTCAGGGTTATATACCTTGCTCCGTGAAGGATAACGAAAGGCATGGTCAGGGGCCTCAATGATGAGGACGTTATTTCTTACTTGGAGGTTTATGGGTAGTTCTAAGTGGGGTTGCAAGTCCGCAAATATGGGTTATACCATAGTCACCTTACTTATGACCCCACTTATAACTCCCCATGAACCTCGAAGTAGGGCTGTCGGCCTCCCGGGTCCCGAACTGCTTTGAAGTGGAACCCTGCAAGGCCTGTGGTCTCTATGTTGTCGGCCCCTACATGTGTAGAGGCCTCAATGATTACTTATGCCATTTTTGGTGCTCCTTCTTATAAATTCAGTATCATGAACCCCACCTCGGTGTAAAAACTCCCGAACCCTAAACCCTGACCCCGACAGAACGAAAAAAGACATGCTGAAGATCAGATCTGGTTGCCGGGCGGTTTGTGGCTGCGTAGAAAGGCCTCTTGAAGGGGTTTCCGGTGTCTTTGCGGGCGATTGGGTTCAATATAGCAGCCTTAATAAGTAGAAAAGTGTTTGCGGCCCACTATACTGTAACTAGAATAAGGAAACCCCAAAATAGTATAGTTAATTATTAAGGCCCCCATAGTAGGTGTTCGGCGCTCACACTCGGACACTCCAGGAGGGTTTGGGGTCTTTGGGTTTTCGAAGCTTCCCAAAACCCGAAGCCCCTCAAAAACCCTTTGGGCGTTTACAGGCTGTTCATGCTGGAAATTTAAAAGGACTCTGCGTGCTTCAGTGCTTTGGGGCATTTTGGGGAGAACCAGCAGACTGAGGGACACTGCTTACCACAAACCCCCTTTTAACCCCAACATGATCACATTCCCTACCGCCTGAAAATGCCCGTATGAACTATCAATCGTTAAGATAAATCGCACAAGGATGCAGCTCCTCAACAAGAACTTCCCAAGTTAGCCAGGAGTAGCACTCCCAAGATTCCTTTCTTCATAAACTCCAGTCAACAAGGGGATGACAGATACTACTGCATTAGGGAACTTGGTTTTATCCTTATTACCCAGTCCCTTGCTTCCTCAAGTAGCACGTAAACTTTACTTAAACGGGAAGCCAGGAGTTTCCGAAAATTAGGGTACCTTATTTTGGGGTCCCTAGAATAAGTGTCCTACTGTTTAGGGTACTATATGAGGTCCCCTATTTTCGGAAACTCCCATGGCACTGGACAGCTCTATGCAGGACGACTCTGGTCTCAAGGCCGGCTTTCCAGCGCAGATTTGGGGTTGCAGAAAAAGGCTCCTCAACCCTCGTCGAAAACCCGTAGAGAACCCTCAGCCCTATATAGAACAGTGAGCTCCATGGTGTCCTTCTCGAAACCCGATCATGCCATGAAATGAACATCTTGAAACGGTGGAGGCCGAGGTTCCCAACGTCGGAGGAATTCCCGGACCCAGGGCACGTTCTTCGCAAGGTAGTTGCCTCTCTACTATACTATAGCAGAATGCAATGTAGCATGATATCTACTAAATCGACTATACTGTAATAGAATACAGTGTATGTAGTATGATATCCCTTACCAAGATGGAACAGACTATGCTTTAATATGACGCTAGGGTTCTTCTTTCAGCATTCAATACTGTAATAGAATACAGTGTATGTAGTATGATATCCCTTACCAAGATGGAACAGACTATGCTTTAATATGACGCTAGGGTTCTTCTTTCAGCATTCACAACTGGAACAAGAATGGCGAACAAATCGAGTTATCTCGAGTTCCAGCAGCACAAGGCGGTGCATTGATCGACTAAGCCCCGGCAGGGCTTTGGCACCAGCACATCTAGCCCATGGTTGGGATAGTATCCAACATGATAATTTCTATTCCTTCTCGGGTTTAAGTACCCATAAACATGTAAATGCTATCCAACTATGACAAAGACATGTCACTGGCCGGTAGACACCGGTGACAGGGTGTCGATGCTCACACTGGCACAAGGCAGCCAAGAGGGTTTTCAGGTTTTTAGTTCAAGAAATCAGAACCCGGCAGGACACTTCTGAGAATCTGGAGGCAAGTAACCCTTTAGCATGAAACCTGTTCGCACTCGTGCATCCACGCTGCCGGCCATCACCTCCATTCCACCCATGCCTCGGCTCTCAGTCGGCTAGGTGTGAGCGTTTTTTGAATCCGGGCTCTATTCCATCATCAGCTGGGAATCGGCAGCTAACATGACTACTGCATGTCAGCAAACCGTCGCAACCACTCCACGTGAGCGTGCAATGGTAACTGTGGCTGGCCCTCTAGGGTTCGGGCAGTCGCGAACCCCAAACCCTAGGTCAAAACCCAAGCCTGTAAGGTTCTTACTGGCATTTCTTGGATCCCGACTGTTACTAAGGTTGGCCTTGGATTTCGCAAATCAAAATCAGAGCTCTCAGTTCCCAAACCCAGCAAACTGCAAACAGACAAAACCCTTTTTCAGCATGGACTGAGGAAAACAAAACGCTAAACCATTAAGCCTAAGCCCTCAAAGTTTGGACATCCAACTCTGCGACAACCAACCTGGGTCGTCCATTCTACGGGTCCCTTCATGGATTCAGGGTGTCTTAAGGAGTCCCTAGAAGGGCTTCACAGAGGAGGTCCCACAATACCGATTAGACAACTCGACCATTGAAAAGTGCTCTGCTATGAGGTCTCTGCGGGTTTATCAATCAGACGCCTAAGACCTCGAGCCATCATTGACATAAATCTTTTTTGAATGCCAAATTGCATTGCGTCGAACAGCGAAACACTCCCACTACAAAAACATTCTTACTTTGAGGTTCCGTACGCTCAGAAGACACTGCCAAAAAGTTCTTGGAACCAAAAAGCAAGATTCGTCTTGTAAGGACCGAAGAAGCAACCCTCATTGACACCCTCAGAAACCTTTACGAAATCCAACAAACCTAAGCCCCTGCAAAGCACTGCGAAATCGCCCCTTTTTACTCATGTTCGGGGTGGGTATCCCCTTGTCGTCCCTAATTGATGTACAGATACAGTCAAACATAACAGCCTACTCATTTCAACATACACCGGCAACGATTCTTCAACCCTGGACCTTTTGCAGCCCTGCAAAGCCCTATGAAACGACATATTTAAAAACCCTATTAAAACATCTGAAGACTCTTCAAGCTCAGTGGCGCTCGTAGAACTGTAGCTCTCCCGGCCCTTCGGTGGGTTTACGGAGGGTTGAGGGTTGTAGTTTCTGAATGTGGCTGCAATGGTTCAGATTTTAATCATAACGGTTCTAAAGCTGGCCATCCTTCTTCTATCCATATTGGTGGTTCGTCATGGCTAACAACTACATGTTGGATTTACACTTTGATTGACGTGGGGTGTTATGCCTGCTTTTAGTGGGCCATGTCAGTTTAACAACTGTTCACTTGCAATTGTCTCGGACTACGAGGTTCACTGGCTTTACAAGGTGGGAGCATGTTTCCCACAGGCAGAAACACGAGTCGCAGCCCAAACGTGACCGGCGTCGTGGCACTCCCTACTTTGACTTTACACTGAACGTAAGACTTTGGTACAAGCTACCACGCTGTCAGAGGGAATAAAGGCCCTATGCTATCTCCAACAGGCCTGTGCCTCCCATGCCCTAAACCCTAAACCCTAAACCCTGAACCCTAAACCCTAAGGGTTTGAGGCTGTTGCCTCGCATCCAATCATCGAGGCCCCTCTCCAGCGCAACAGCGCAGACATCGGCATCTAGGACGACAGCTGTGTACCTTTGCATTCTACTAGCTGTTCTTGAGGCATTTCGTGAGGACGCTAAGGGCTTACGATTTAGGTGTGCCTTCTGCTTATTGCCATAAGAGTTTTTTCCACCAGGTTCTTGGATCGGGTTGTTGAAGGCGCGGACTCGTCCAGGCTTTTGGGATCAAGTCATAAGTTTTAGCATCAAGGGTTGAGGGAGGGGTTGCAAATAGGGTGTGAGGTCTGGGTTGAGGCTTGCGATGGCCGGTGAAGGTTGAGATGGGTCGAGGGTTGCAGATTACAAGACTGGTCATAAGTTCTGAGGATACAGTTTTCGCCCTAGCCCTGAACTTTGGAAAGGGCCTGGACAACATCTAGAGAGCAAATGAATGAATGAATGAATGAATGACTGAATGACTGAATGACTGAATGACTGAATGACTGAATGACTGAATGACTGACTGAATGACTGACTGACTGACTGAATGAATGAATGAATGCATGAAGGCATGAAGGCATGAAGGCATGAATGCATGAAGGCATGAATGCATGAAGGAATGAATGCATGAATGCATGAATGCATGAATGCATGAATGCATGAATGCATGAATGCATGAATGCATGAAGGAGTGAAGGAGTGAAGGAGTGAAGGAGTGAAGGAGTGAAGGAATGAAGGAATGAAGGAATGAAGGAATGAAGGAATGAAGGAATGAAGGAATGAACGGAATGAAGGAATAAACGGAATGAACGGAATGAAAGAATAAACGGAATGAACAGGATGAATGGAATGAATGAACGAATGAATGAATGAATGAAGGAAGGAAGGAATGAATGAAGGAATGAAGGAAGGAAGGAATGAATGAATGAATGAATGAACGAGCGAACGAAGGAATGAATAATTGTTTGATTGTTTGAAATTTCATGAATGAATGAATGAATGCATGGATGGATGGATGGATGAATGGAAGAATGAATGAATGAATGAAGGAAGGAAGGAAGGAAGGAAGGAATGAAGGAAGGAAGGAATGAATCAATGAATGAATGAATGAATGAACGAACGAACGAAGGAAGGAAGGAATGAATGAATGAAATGAATGAAATGAATGGAATGAATGAAATGAATGAAATGAAGGATTGAATGGATTGAATGGAATGAATGGAATGAAATGAATGGAATGAAATGAATGAATGCATGAATGAATGCATGAATGCATGAATGCATGAATGAATGAATGAATGAATGAAAGAATGAAAGAAGGAACGAAGGAACGAAGGAACGAAGGAACGAAGGAAGGAATGCAGGAATGCAGGAATGCAGGAATGCAGGAATGAAGGAATGCAGGAATGCAGGAATGAAGGAATGAAGGAATGAAGGAATGAAGGAATGAAGGAATGAAAGAATGAAGGAATGAAGGAATGAAGGAATGAAGGAATGAAGGAATGAAGGAATGAAGGAATGAACGAACGAACGAACGAATGAAGGAACGAAGGAACGAAGGAAGGAAGGAAGGAAGGAATGAAGGAATGAAGGAAGGAATGAATGAATGAATGAATGAGTGAATGCATATATACATATGCATATGTATATACGGTCATATAAATTTAAATGTGTGTATATATGTACTGCAATACATCATACATACATACATAAGTACATACATAGTATATGTAACCGGAAACCATACTAGCAGGGAGCCACCAAAACCATGCGGTTCAGGCGACTCTCCAGCTCCAGGCCCCTACGGTTTCAAGCCCACAAGTCCACAACGAGCCCAGCTTTCTGCGTCTCTTCCCAGAGACTCCAATACCCCTTAAGTAAGGAATCTACCCTAAATTATAGTAGTGATCCTACTATAACTTAAGGTATACTCCTTAATTAACGGATATTGGAATCTCTGGGTTCCCTGATAACCAAAAAGCCGTAATATACCCTAACGAAAAGGGAAACAAACTCCTAGGAACATCCAGCAAAAACTTTCTCGAAGGTCGGGCTGCCCCTCTGCCTGAGTTTCCAGGAACTCGGCAACCACACAATGCCTGCGGACAGGACGAAGCATCTTCTTTATAATGGTAATATTGATGTACATGTTAACCTTAGTAAACCAGGGACATATTATCGACAGGGCGTAGCCTTTGGGGTTTTAGGACTGAAGCTTTGCGTTGAAAGCCGTGGCTTTCATATCTTTCATAAAGAGCTTAAGCTTATGTTTCATACGGTTTTGTGAAGTTTCTCGGAGTTGACATCGAGGCCTTCACAATGAGACTAAGTGCTCTATGTGACTGTGTCAGGTTTGATAGAGTTTGAACATACAGGCCTCAACGATTAGAATAGGATCACGGGTTGAGCTGTAGTCTGCTTGTCTACTGTTATATGAGGACTATATGGGTAGTTGTCAAAATTAAGGTCCCCTTTTGGTGCCCTAAATAATAGGTGCCGTATTATAATAGGGACCCAAAAAGGGGACCATACTTTTGACAACCACCCATATGAGGACTATATGGGAGATATTGTTGCTGATACAGACTCCGCAGCTCGGTTTCACTGTCCTCATGCCTGGGTGGTCGGTAGCTTCAAGAAATCAGCAAACCCAGGACAAACAAAAAAAAAACACCAGCTCCCCGCTTCCCAAGCCCTGCTAGAATGAGCTTAGGCAGACTTTCCTTCAGCACCCTTAGAACCATAACATGTGAGTTTCCGAAAATAAGGGACCCTACTATAGTACCCTAAATAGTAGGATCCTTATTATAAGGACCCCAAAATCAGGTATCCCGAATTTTCGGAGTGGCATCACAAGGCAGCTTCTCAGATTGGAGATCTCGACAGGTGGGATGAAGGTAAACAGGATGAAGGATGAAAACGCGCATGAACACAACACGCGGTTCAAAGCAGCCCAGGGGCTTCAGGTAGAAGAAGTCGCCGCGGAACCTGCATCCAAAAGTCAGGGAAATATCGCGGCATGCACACTCTGTCCAGAAATCATGCGAGGTGTCAGGTAGTCAAGGGCGACTCAGGAGTGGGACACCAAACACATTCATGGGGACGGACTGTCTTGCAAAAAGACACTGAGCAGGCTTAAGAATCCAATTCGACAGAAGATGCCTTAGGTTCGCACTCCCAAAGCCTGGACACAAGATCCTCAACGGCAAACCCCGGACGCCAAATCAAATCCTACCCAAGCTACGTTCTGTGGACCCTAAGCGGAGGTTTCCTATGATCCAAATAGGGCACAGCTCAGGAGTTGGGGCTTCGGGGTGTTCCGGCAGCCAGATAATATAGGGGCCCGGGATCGGGGTCCCCTGATCCTTTGGATACTTGTAACTTGCTGACTACCCTGACCCTTTAAGTGGTCTCAAAACTCTCTGAACAACACACCCCACAGAGTCTCTATGAATAACATAGGGGCCTTAATTAAAATAGGGTTGCGGGTGTACATTCTGTAATAAGGAGCCACCGACATAAGAGAATTGGCAATAATTTCGGCCCCATACTTGTCTTATAGTCACCATCGTCTCAGTCGAGCTGCGCGATGCACTTGGGAAAGGCACTCCCGTTGAGAAGCCAGAGGTCGTAGCCCTGCTGCTGGGCGTAGCATCGGAGACTTTGGATCTGAGCCCCATACTGCCTGGGCTTTTGTTGAAAGGTTGTGGGTTTGGGGTTTAGAGATTTGGGGTTGAGGGGGGTTTAGGATTAAGGGGTTTAGGGCTTTTGTTGCAAGGTTGTTGGTTTCGACTCACACACTCGCACAGGGCAGGCATGGCTTCAGATACTAAGTCCGGTTGTTGGTTTAGGGTTTAGAGGCTTGGGGTTGAGGGGTTTAGGATTAAGGTGTTTGGGGTTTCGGTGTTAGGGGTTTAGGGGTTTAGTGGTTTAGGGTTAAGGGGTTTGGGGTTTACAGTAGGGCTAGCTACGGCAAGGGCCTATGCTTTTGACTCTTGCACTCGCACAAGGCAGGCAAGTTATGCCTTCCGGGTTCTGCGATGTGGTTTTTAGCGCTTCAAGACAATTCAAGACTTCTTGGCTTCGCACATCTCTCAATGCGTGCTTCAATGCTTTAGGTTTTGGGCTAAAGGGCTTTACTGGCTTTGCCGTCCCCTGCTTTAAAGTTTTCAACACCCGCAACTGCTTTCGAGTTTAGTGACTTTGGATTTCGGGGCTCCAGGGTTTCGGGGTTGACAGCTTCAGGCTTCAGGGTCTTTAGGGTCTCTGGTTTTACGGTTTTTAGGGTTTAGGGTTGCTTTCGGGTTTAGGGCTTCAGAGCTTTGTCCATCGTCCAGGTTCCCCAGAGATGGCAACATGTCCCAAGGAATCGAAGCGAGCAGCTTCTGAAACTGGTCGTCTGCGAGGACGACAAGTCCGATGGGGTGCATGCCTCATCTGCTGCCATTCCCTTTTGAAACTGGACTTGATGACTGCTGCCATTCCCTAAACCCTGTCTGGCCCTCTGCCGACTGCTGGATCCACGGTCAAGAAAGGTCAAGCTCGTCATGCTCAGCGGTCGCTCGTTCTCTGGTGCTGCCTCATTCATCCGTGCAGCAAAAACTAAACCTCCTCTTTGAGGGAAGAATGGAAGCAGGCAATACCCTTTGTGGGCAACTGCGCTGCACCGCTACAATCTACAAAGGGACTTGGCACACATGCACAACCCTCCACGTGGCGCGCTTTTCGAAGGGGACCGATTGTCAACGGCGCCAATGGGCACAACTGCTCCGATCACCTCTGAAGGGGTGGACACAGTCTCGACAGAGCCTGGTTCACTGGACTTCGATCCCTTTGGCAAGGCCTTCGGCGCTTGGAACATGCCTCCCTTGTCGGGCCAATAATAAAGAGGACTCAAGAGTGCCCAAAACAGGACGTAGCCCGCATGAACTCGGAAAGGAAGCAGAGCGTCGTGAATGGGCTGATAGAAGCCAACTCCTGCAATGACGGCGCCGAGGTTGCCGCCAGCTCCCACCACAGCTGACACCACTGCAAGCTGATCTGGCTTCATGAATGGGACAATTCCGTAGCTTGTGCCCTCAGCCATCTGCACAAACAACGAGAAACACACCAACACAGCCAAGGCCACATACCACGGCTGGGAGTGGTCCACCATCCCAAAAGCGAACCTGGGCTCTTCTTCAGGGCCTCAAACCCCATTATGAACCTTAAAGGGTTTTTTAATTTAAGGTCTAGGGGTTCGAGTCGTTCTGAATCCTGCCTTGTGACATGACTGGAGAAGGTCAGAAATCACGACAGCTCGTTCTAGGAATGATTCTATGCAGACGCCCAAGACCCGAGACTAGTCCGACCTCAAGAACTAGACTGTACGTAATGAACCCCCAGGACAAACGGACAAAACCATTCCCTGCCCTGGCAACAAATCCTGAACCCTAAACTTGCGAAGGCGCTGTGAAAGGCTTCCTTAAGCACACTCTCGGGGTACTGAAAGGGCTCCATCTGCGGGTTCAATTAGGTGTGTATTAAACGAAATTACGGTACAAAAATACCCTTTTGCCCTAAACCCCCTAAACTCTAAACCGTAAACCCTAAAAATGTGCTTTCTCCTCCCTTGGCAGCAGGAAGATCGCCTCGAAGACCAGCGCTAGGAACCTCATCACCCGGAAGGCCGGCTTTTGTATGTTTTCGGCGCTCACACTCGGACAATCCAGGCGAGGCATATGGTTCGGAGTCTGACAAGTGAAACTTCACTAGGAGGAGCGATCATTGCGTCATCAACAAACAAGTGTATCTTTGTATGAAGTAGGGTTCAGGGTTTAGGGTTCAGGGTCCTGCTGTAGGGGTCTTTATGAGGACTCTACAGGGCATGCAGGGTTTGATCAAGACTGTGCAAAGCTTTGTGGGGAGTTTTGAAGTGCCCTGTAGGGCTTTGTTGGAACTTTGTAAGGCTGTTCAAGAGACTTAAAATTGCTCTATCAGTATTCTATAACTTTTAAGGCATCAGACAGGTTTCTTCAGGGTTTGATGTCACATTTTTAGACTGCGTTATAAAGCGCTTGTAAGGCTTCTTCGTCAGTGCTTCATAAGGTTTGTGAAGGGTTGAAAGGAGTGGTGTATAAGGGTTTATCTGGGCTTTGCCGGGGTTTCATCAGGGCCTTGTACTGCTGTATGAGTTTGTAAGGGCTTTTTGCAGAATTTATAATGCGTGTTATCAGGACATGGCAGGGCGTTGAGGGTTTAGTTGCAAGGGCAGGGATTGGTAGGGGTCAGGACTGTGCAGGGCATTATCAAGGTTTTGTGGACATATAGGTCCTAAAAAAAGTTCTTGTATTATGCTGAGGTATTACAAGTCCTGTATTCGTTATATGCATGTATGTCTATCTCTATACACATGTATCAGATTATCATGTTTCTCAACAACATTACCATTTACTTAGAATAGGTCTTGTTACTGTCGTTGTCATGGACATGTGCTCCATTGCATTCTACGATACTATCTTCTAATCTATCCTCTTCTATTCTACAGTAAACACATACAGTAGAAGCCAGGAAGTTGGAACATCAATATCCTCATGGCCTTAAAGGTAAAGTATATGTATAGGGGATCCCAGCACTAATCATCCTAAATCCATGCTCCAACTTTCCGGGGTTCACTATAATTATCTTACTACAGGGGCCTTAATAGTTAGAATAGGGTTTGCAGGCCCACTATACTATTATAAATATAATAAGGAACTCTAGTAAAGTAAAAGCCAAAAAGTTGGAATATGGTTTCAGGGTAGGATACCTTGTAATTTACTTTAAAAGGTTTAGGATAACCATATTCCAACTTTCTGGCTTTTACTTTAAGTACACAGGAGCCCAGGGGCTGTACCCAGATTCGGCCCCGGAAGCCAAAGTGATGGAAGCAAAGGTCGCTGGAAGCTCCGCCCAAGGACCGCGCGAAGAGGTTCCTTTTTGGGGGTCATTCTGTGCTGTTTGGTGCTTTTTGCCTTTTAGGATTATGTGTGCTCCTTGGTTGGTTGTTCTCCCCTCCTTTCTTGTTTGGGGTTTAGGGTTGCAGCTGGACCCTATGGGGTCCGCAATATACTGTTTAGGGCTTATACCGTCTAAAAGGTACAGGTCCTTGCAGTTAGGGGGTTTTGGGAGGTGTAACAAGGAGATCAAATATGGTCGAGGTGGTTATAAGCAATGAAAGTTTTTAACATGGTCGGGTATCGAATCCGCAAGGAGGGCTCGCAACATGCATTTGGGCTTAGGGTTTACGGGTTTCGCGCTTCTTGCTCATTGGGCATGTTGTCGGAGTCCAGGTTTCGGGTTAAGGTTACAAGCTGCCCCCCCCCACCCTGTAATAGTGACTGCAAGGATTATATAGGATTATATAAGAGCCCTAGTATATTCCCACTATACCACTATTACAGGGTGGGGGCAGCTTCTAAGGTTAAGGTGATGTTCTTTGGGGTCGAGTGCTCTAGGTCCTGAGGATGGTTGGGCCTGGGGCTTTGGGCAACAGGGGTTTTAGTGCTTCGGCTTGTGGGACTCTGGGCAACAGACGCCAAGCATCAACAAGCCATGAACCAACAGCCCAAGAAACCCAAAACTACGCAAAACCTAGAAAAAGGAGACTAGCCCTAAACCCTAAACCCTGAACCCTAAACAAAAAGATGCTCTTCAACAACCAGGGCGCATGAGGCCGAAACACCCGGCTAAGAGAGTTGCGTCGCCGGCACCAAGCTGGAAGTAGGTACCTGGAGAGGGTTTAGGGTTTAGGGGCCATAGCTTACTTCTCCTCAAGGGCCTTTATAAGGGTTCTACAGCGCTACAGCGCAAGGGCGTGAATAACTTGAATTTGAGCAGGGTTTTGGGGTGTGTATATTATTATTGTCTAAGCATAACCAGGAGCCCTAACGAGTAGCTTTGGTGGCTATTGAGGTCCTTATGCAGACTGCAGACGTTTGGGGTCTGGTTGGGGGGTTGGAGGTTTAGGGCGGTTTGGGGCTCCCAGACTCCAAAACCCCTCAGGCCTGAGCTAAGTGGTCCTTGGTCGTAACAAGTTTTGTGTCTTCAGAGGGGTTCATAGGCCTTCAATTCAGCGCAGGAATATATACGAATATAGGTCATCAGCCAAAAACTAAGGATCCCTCTGTCATCTGAGGCGGTTTGCTTAGTTCAGGGGTTTGGAGGGTTCTGGGGAGGTATTCCTAGGAGGCAGGTTCAGGGCGCAAACTGCAAACTATAGCACTTAGGGGTTTTGGGGCTTGAAGATCAGCTGACTGAGGCAGTAAGCTAGAGTTCGTGGATTGAGATGCTTTAACTAATTGGGGCTATCCTATGTACAAAATGTAGAGACCTGCATATCGACTGGCTATTAAGTCCCGAATCCCCTAAGCCCTGATCCTTGCAGTATCTGCTCTTTATTGCATTTGGAAACTTCGCTGCCGCGTCCTTAACAAAAAGACGGCCATTGCTGAAAAGGTTCGGAAATGAGTTGCAAGCTGATTGTTCATTGCGAGCTCCGCGCCAAAACACGCCGAGTACTGAAAGATCATGATGAGAACACGGACGTCCTTCAGCACTTCTACGTAGTCCCGTAGCCTGGGCTGTTCTTAGCGTTCCTTAAGTTTGAAAATCACAAGGTGTGTTCCTCCTTTGGCCTGCACGAAACAAAAGAAAAGCTCCCAAGTCCTTTCACGTGCGGGCTAACCCTAAATCCTAGGCCTCAAACACTAAACCCGAAAGTCTTAACTCCCAAACCATCCTAGACTCCAAGTTCCCTAAACCCTCAAGAGTCTGGCAACCCTCCCCTCGTGCCCTCCCCACTTCTGGTGCTAATGTAAGCACTAACTCGCACAATAAAAGGACGATGTAAGGCATATTGGTGAAATATAGAGGCTACATAGGCTTGTGTCAAAGGCTTCCGGGAACCCTAAACCCTAAGTTCCCGATTTGCAAAAGGCTGGGTACTTCGCCCGAGTTCCCAAACCCTTAACATACGGTGTAGCAACGAGGGCTTCTTCGTCTTGCCTATGACTGTCACATCGAAGCGCTTGGAGGTCGGCGTATCCCAGCAACAGAGCTTTAGGGCCAAGGCGCACCTGAGCTCTTCTCGAAAGAACCTTTACGCACAATAACAGTAATAACACAATGCAAACGAAGCTAGTAGCAAAAGGAATCATACTTATAAGAACTATGCAGTAGTCAGTACTAATATCGTTTTAAAGAAAACTCTGGTCGTGGTGGTAGTAGTAGTAGTAGTACGAGGAGGAATGATACCATTAGTAGTACGACTTGCTTGTTGCTAATTAGTATTACACGACATAATGCTCGCACACCTGGGCTGTTTTGGGTTAGGTTTGGCCATCTGCATTGCTGTCGCTTAGTGCGCTGACACTCTCACATATCGGGTTTCGGGCTTCGGATCTAACGTTCGATGAAGCTAGAAGCTTGTCGAGTTTTGTGCCTTTTGAAAGCATGCTGTACGAAATTAAAAAAACAAATTCAAGAAGGGCCCAGACACAGCAGGAAGACGACTGCGGGGACCAGCATTGCCACTCTCCACGCAGTATCGTGATCCAGGCCAGCGTTGACCATTGGAGTAAAAAGTACGGACATCATGAAGATCTGTGTTACGCCACCGCCCAAGTTGCCCCAGCCGGCAGCTGTAGCGTTGGCAGTGCCAACCACATTTGGGGCAAACATCAAAGAGCACCAAAACTGATTGGTAACGAAGGTTGCACCCGCGCAACCGATGAAGAAGCGGATGAGCATATAATTCCTTAGGGACTGAGTAGCAACTTAACCAAGTAGCTCATGGAAGACTTAAACTGAATTTACTCCACAATTCTTGATATTACCCGACAAACTTAAAGCTTACCCACTCAGCACCGAAGATTCCATGGCGCTGTGATTGCTGCCGCCATGGCTACCCAGACAGCCCCAAAAGTTAGCAGTCCAGCCTGGACTTGTACTGGCCCAAACCTTTCCAGAAGCGTTCCTAGGGCAGCTCTCACGACGATTGTAGAAGAAACCGCAGCGACTCCGGCGTTGGCGATTACACGCTGACAATGTGTCCCAGGAGTGCACACGCAGCTGGAGAGGACCTCCGGACGGTACTTTTGCGCCTCAGGACTGCCTGCCACGGTAACAGCGTCTGCTGGCACTTCGTGGCAATCCGAGGGCATGCCATCCACTTCTTGAATGCCATATTGGCAGTAGTGTAAATCGGTTTGTAAATTCTTGAAGGTCAAGTAAGCTACTCTTGTGGGCACGCTTGCAGGCGGGTAAACCTGGTTTTCACACACACCCATGCTTGTGGCCACCTCGAGGCTAAGCGGAGATAAAGCAAACCACCCAAGGAACGCCAGGAAGAAAGAGATCGTGCTGCCCCAGAAAGCTCGCATGTGCGGATTTTCCTGCACACTGCCTCCGACTCGCAGCAAGGGGAGCTCCGTGGCTTTCCCCTTGGAGTCCACTCGACATTTGAACTTTCTTGCTTTCGTCTCACATGGCGCGGAATTCATTGCTTCCGTTCGGGAGACCTATGCGACTATACGACTATACTAGGGCATCTTGCAAAGGCCCTCGGCTGAGGCCTGGAGATTGAGCCGTAAGCGCAGGCATCCTGAGTGGTCTCCACACGGTTGCTCGTCATCGAAGTAATCGTGGGAATATGACCAGAAACACTGACGAAACACAATCAAAGTCATGGTAGTCATAGCCGGAAAAAGGAAACCCAGCGACAAAAACAAAAGAGGTACTAACCGTTACTAACCCTCGATAAGGATCAAAATACCATTGGCAGTCGTGCCTACGGGACTTTGCTTTGCTACAGTAGCACCGAGTATGCGTACGATAGTATTTCAAACAAACGTAGCATTGACTCGGGAGATGAATAGCTGGAAGACGAATGGAGGATATCATGATACGAGCATCGCTGAAGCATCAATAATACTAGTACTGAACCTGCATCAGAGTGACAAGAACAGGGCCAGCTTAAAGCATGTTCGCGGGGTGCTCTCATACTGGCAGGTGTACCACAGGCATCCTAGGAATCACACTGCTTAACAACACCTTCGATAGCACACGGTATTGTTCACTGTAGTAGCATCTGGAGCTGAAAAGCGCTTGGCATGTTCAGCAATGCTAGCAACAACAACAACAACAACAACAACAACAACAACAACAACAACAACAACAACAACAACAGCAACAACAACACTGGGCTAGGCAGGATGGTCATCTTCTCTAGACCACAAGCCCCTAAGCCCCAAAACCCAAAAGCTTCAACCCGCCCATATCCCCAAGCTAAGGGCTTAGTGATGGTGCCCAGCCTCAACCCGTCCATCCCCGACCCTGCCCCACTCCTCAAACAAAAAGCGATGAAATCTAAGGCCTCGATCAGAGGGCTCAAGGCCCTGCTTCTCATCCTTCCTCGGCCAGGCTCAGCGCGGAAGGAGCTAGCTTTCGATTCGCGGAGTTGTTTCCTCCGACTTCGGAAGGGCGAGGCCGCAGGGGTTGCAGGTCGGAAGGCTTTCACCCTTTCGGGAAAAGGGAAGATAGAGACGATGTAGGATGCTTTTCAAGGTTCCCGGGGGGGGCAGAGCAGGACCCAAAAAAGGCGACACCGATACCATCAGGCCCAAAGGCAAGGCCCCGGAAAACCCCAGGCGAGGTGTTAAGTCTGGCCTTCTGAAGAAGCCCTTAATATAGGTGCCTTAACAATTAGAATAGGGTTTTGGGGCCCAGTAAACTAAGATGATAATAAGGAACCCCCCCAAAATAGTATAGGTAATTATTTAGGCCCCTATGTTCGCCCTTCAGCCTACTGGATATCTCAGGCCGGAACCGAATCACGGACCTGGGCCCACCTGGCAATGTAAGGACCTACGGTAACTTGGAAGGTTCATGGGCAGTTAAAAGTGGGCTTATAAGTAAGGTAACTATAGTTATAACCCAAATTACGGGACTTATAAGCCCATTTATAACTAACCATGAACCTCCAAGAAGGGCTTCTTTAAAGTCACCGTAAATCCCTTACGGAACCCTGTAAGGGAACCCTTTGAACGAACCTCTTGAACTTCAAAAGATTCCTTCAATGGCTTCGCTTCAAGGATCCCTTTCAAAATGATTTACGGTGCAGGCTTACTTTAGACGCCTGAAGTATTCAAAAGACAAGGGGCTCCTTTTCATAAGCACCCTGCAGTATGCCCCACCTCGTGTAATCGCTAGGGCCCCTATATCGTTGATTCGAACAGGTATTTGGGATGTATGATATATGAGAGTAAAACTACATAAAGACTATAAGCCGATAGTCTCGAAGAGTGAGTGCTAGGCGAAGCTTGCTGGGGTTGAGCTCAAGCCCCTACGAAGCTTACGATTCTCTTGTTCAGAATCGCCGTGACATGCACGGAGCTGAAGGTGGACTCAAGTTTGCAAGTGAAACCCCTGTAGCTTGGCAGTCGGAGGCTGCATTTGCAGAACTCTGCACTTCGGCATCTGCACAGAGCACGATGGGACTTGCTCAAAGAAAAGGAGCTCCAAAACAATGCCGTCTGCTTTTAGGGTTTGGGGTTCCCATTCTCGGATCGTTGAAGATACCCGAGCCCGATACAGCCAGCCGACATGTCCCGCTGGGCGGCTAAACCCTCTCGGTCACCTCAGTACTCCCTTCACTTTTCACTGCGCCGAGGGGACGAACCCCTTCCAACACACTCTTCATCAGCCCAAAACTCAAAACCCTAAAACCCTCAACCCCTGAATCCAAACAGCCTCAGTAAGCCCAAAACCCTAAACTACAGTACATCCTTAACCTTAAGCTTCAGTGCCCAAAACTCAAAACCCTAAAAACCCTCAACCCTTAGCCTCAAAATTCATCCCAAACTCATAGGAGGCCCAGGAGGCCCAAAAGGGGTTTTAGCCCATGGGGGTTTAGTAGGGATTAGGGTTCCCATAATAATAATAATAATCATAATAATAATAATCAGAATAATAATCAGAATAATAATAAGAATAATAATAATAATAATAATAAGAATAAGAATAAGAATAAGAATAAGAATAATAATCATAATTAATAATAATAATCATAATAATAATAATCATAATAATAATAATCATAATAATAATAATAGAATAATGATAATAATAATAGAATAATAATAATAATAGTAATCATAATCATAAGCATAATCATAATAATAATAATCATAATCATAATAATAATAATAATGATAATCATAATCATAATAAATAATAATAATCATAATAATAATAATAATAATAATATAATAATAATAATAATCATAATCATAATAATAATAATAAGGTTCATTTTAAGGCCTCCCATCCCAAACGAAGCTTCAAGTCTCCGCACCTGCGCTCGCCGCCTTCGCGGCCTCTTCGGCGGCCAGGGCCGCAGCCGATGCGGCAGCCGCTGCACGGCTGGCTCCTCTCTCGGGTTCAGGCGTTTTCCAGGGTTCAGGGTTCGGGTTTATGGTTTAGGCTCTCGCAACTCGGACACAGCCAAACGAGGTTCTTGGTTCGCAGCAGAATACAGTGCGGGTGCTCAGGGTTTAGGGTATTCGGGTTTAAGGTGAAGTAAAGGTTTTCTGCGGTTTCGCTTCAGGCTCTCGCAAGTCATCACTACTCGGATTCAGGGTGGGCTCTGTCAAGGGCTCTTGGGGAGCTGTAGAAGTGATCCTCAAGAGTTCTATCCGAGCTTGAGGTGGAATCTAGAAGCCCGGATGATTGGGTTCTGCGTTAGAAGTACATTCGGAAGCCAAAAAAAGATTCTGTTTCTTCTTCAGGGCCCTTCCTTACAGGGGGTTCTTCAAAATTCCACATACACATATACACGTGCATATACATATACATATACATATCTATATATATATATATGTACATGTGTGTATATATGTTGTATATGTGTGTGTGTGAACATACGTGAATAGGCAAAAAATATATGTATGTGTATGTATGTATGAAGTTTTCTTCCATCCTTAGCTAGTCATGTAAAACCCAGCACTGGAGGTCGGCGGTCCTTCCGTGGCTTGGCTCAGGGCCGTCTTCAGTGCCTCCTCCTGGCTTCGGGCTTCGGGCTTTGCAAGCAAGTTACGGGCTTCTGGTTTACGCTCTCAAGGGTTTAGAGTTAGGGTTTATGAAGTCGGGACTGGCTCGCAACTGTCAGGGTGAAGAGGGATTAGAATTAAGGGCATGTGGTGAGAAGGGCTTGGCATTTGGAGTTTGACATATAGTGCTTTGAACTGCAAGGTCACAGGCTTCGGGTTTAGGGTGTTCTACTGGGAAAGAGGGTTCGCGTCTCTTAGGTCCTCCTTGGGTCCTCAGGGTGATTCGAAGCTGTAGCTCACGGCTTCATGAAGTTTTCGATTCGAGTAACTGAGCAAGGACCTTGCGCGATGTTGAACACGCTTGCATTTATGCAATAACCTCCAACCCCTCAACCCTAGACCGGCTGTGGAGCAGATTCGCGAACTCCCAGCCCTTGAACCACAGAGATGCTTGAATCCCCTAAGCTTCTAGAATTATGCCCGAAGCCCCAAAACCCAAGATGAAGGAAGCCCTAGACCTAAAGCAGCGGCCTTGCTAATTAGAAGAAAAGCCTCAGAAGTGGATTGTGAACCTTCAGCTGCCCTCGTCCTCCTCATGCAGAGCTCGAGCAGTGCCATCGGCGCCCACAGCCAGGGCGGCGAGTCGCCTCACGCGCCTCTTCGCCTCCGAAAAAAAGGCCGCTTCTGGGTTGCTCTCCTAGGTTTTTCAGAAGGTCTTTCATGAGAGTGACTCAGGATTGGGATTCTCGGCTTCTTTGTTGGTTTTGTAAAAAAAGATGAACCGTATGGATTATGTAGTCTAGGGCCATGTGCAAATGCAGAGACGGAATACAAACCCCCAAACATGTTTGAGGGATGAAGGACTTCGAGTCTGAATGAGTCCTTAATCTACGGCTTGGGGTGTAAAGCCCCAAAAACAACAAGGACCTTTGGTTAGTAGGGAATGGAAGAATGGTAGTAATTGTAGTTATAATTGTACCCCGTTCCTCCATTCCCTACTAACCAAGGTAAGAACAAGGACCAGTTGAGGATGCGAGAAGGTTCTGACTGTCGGCTGTAACGTGCCTGCAGACAGTCATCCCAAATTTGGCCCCAAACTGAACGAAGCGCGCGCCTGCGTCTCTGAAGCTTCCTGCAAGGGGCATTGGCTGGGCAGATGCGCTGCAATTTGGGCTTGAAGTTTAGCCGTAAACCCTACACTGCACCGTTTGGGGTTAAGGTTGTAATCATCATGAACGGCCGAGCCGGGCGACTCGGAGCAGGAGCTGAGGCAAGAAGAACTTTTCGAAAGGGACTCGTCGCTCTGCATCTTTGTGATGTTCTGTGGGCTGATGTCTTAACCCTAGATGTAATGTAGCTCTATACCCCCACCCAGCGAGAAATGTGGAAGAAGGTGGATCCTAACCTCATTCCCTCCTCAACCCACACACAGCGAGGGACTGGGGACGCTGAAGGGCTGTCACAGGGCAAATGCGGGCCGGAGCCCCAATGCAGGGGAAATATTGAGGCCTTAGTAATGCGAATCGCGTTTGGGGGCCCATTATGCTATAGTAGTTCTCATAAGGAACTTTTAAGGAACCCCCAAAATAGCTTTAATTTTTTCGGTACCTACTAACTATTAAGGACCCTATATTGGAGCCTTGCAGAACCACATTGGGAAAACCCGGTGCCTGCACGAAGCTCAAAGCTCCCATCGACACGTCAGGGGCCAACGGCTCGCAGGTGAAGTTGGCCACCTCGGAGGGTCCGAGGAAGAAAGGTTCTTGCACTTTTCGGGGGATCTCATGGGGCTTCGTAGGAGTTCTTAGAGGGCTTTATCGGTGCTCTGTTCATGGTGCTTCGTCGGATTTTTAAATGGGCTCTTCAGTGTTTTGCGGGGGGTTCGAGGTCTTGACATCTGCACTCGCCGAAGCCAGGAAGCCAGGCAAGGCCTGAAGCCACTAATATAGGGGCCTTAATAATTAGAATAGGGTTTTGGGGCCCACTATGCTATAATTACAATAAGGAACCCCGAAAATAGTATACGTAATTATCAAAGCCCTTATAGTAGCCCAGCCAACGGGTCTCGACTTGGTACACTTCTCGCTTCGTGCATGTCATCCTTGCACAGGGGCCATGCTAATCTTGGGGTCTAGGGTTTAGGGCTTGGGTTGACGGGGTTTCGGGCGAGGTTCAGGGGGCGTTCGGAGCTCGCGTAATCTCGCACAAGCACACCTTTTTCTCAGAGAATAGCACCTCTCACATCATCTCTACATGGTGTAAGATAAGAAGCTCAGAAGGAAGCCAAGCGCCTCCAAACCGGCAGCTGTCAAGATTTTCGGACACTTCTGGTCCTGACGTAGAAAATCAAGGGAAGGGGTCTAGACTCTGTATAGACATAGATAAAAATAGAATCACAAAAGCAAGTGAGTAAGCAAGCAATACATATGCATATGTATATCATATGTATATCCAGGGACCCTTCCTCACCTCCTTCAGACCACCACTTGCATCGGGCTGGTCGGCACGGCCGCCTTCGTGGCGCGGCGGAACATTTCCGCGCGCTTCTCTTTGACATCCTTGGCCTCCGTCTCCGAGAGATCCACCTGGGGAGCTTCAAACAAGCGGGGAATCTTGAATTAAAGAAAGAAAAATGTCGAGAGAGAGCGGGACAGAGAGACACGACATGTTTTTAAGGTATATTGTGATCAGTGCATTTCGTACATTACCGTCGTGTATGTGTTTGTATGTATGTACGTACGTATGTACGTATGTGGGAGATCCATTAAGAAGCCAAATTAGTCTTGATGCAAAGCATCCCGCACAAAGTGGGACCTTAGATCGAGAACCTTAGCCTTAACAAGTGAACTCTGATTCTGATTCTGTAACCACCCGCGCACCTTGACATGGGGGATCGTTGCGTCATCGGCGAGACCGCAGGTGTTCCTCACTGTTCAACTTCTACCGTTCATACGACTAGTCTACTAACTATTCCTGTTATCGATACGAGCACTTTTCCTACCAGTGGTAGAGTATACAACCTAATTCTAGACCCCACAAATCCCAAACTACAAGTTGATGAAAAACAGAGGTGGAAAGTTGTAGCGTCGGCAAGTAACTTGCCAAAAAAATTGTACACTTTCAGCTCTATAAGGGCAAATTCCTGCCCCAAAGGTGTAAAATGCCCCCACTCAGACTCAGCAGCTAAGGCTCTCAGCCATCAGCCCTAAACCCTTAACTATTTGTAGGTGCCTAAAAATTATCTATATTCGTCCTAGGGTTCCCCACTATGATTGTACTATACGTAATGTATCGCCGAAACCTTATTCTAACTATTCAGGGCCTTTATAGTAAGGTTCTCAGTCCTAAACCCTGAACCCTAGACCCTAGCTAAACCCAAAAAGCCCTAAATCCGCTCGCTCTCTCTCTCTCTCTCTCTCTCTCTCTCTCTCTCTCTCTCTCTCCCAGGCATTCGAAACCCTAAATCCTAAACCCCAAAAACCCCTAGGCCCTACCAAGGCTCTCGGCCATCTCCAGGTAGATATAGCCCTGCATCCCCCAGGTGGAGGCCCAGCCTGGTGCACTCAACTCTCCCCCAAAGAAACCGAGGAAAAGGGTATGCAAAAAAGGGTGCCTCAATAGTTAGAATAGGGCTTCCTTTAAGGGGGTTCCTTAAAGTGGTGGATAAGGGTACTATTACTGCAGTATAGGGGCCTGAATAAGCAGAGTAGGGCTTAGGGTTTATGCTCTCACAACTCAGACAAGATCCTCGCCAGGGTTTACGCTCTCGCAACTCGGACAAGCCGAACGCCAGGGTTTAGGGTTTGGTGTTTTTCTGGGTTCTTGTCAAAGGATTTAATTAAAGGTGCCATGGCAGGGGTCTATAGTCAGTAAAATGGTTTATTACGGCAACTTAAAGAAGTAAACTCCTTAACAAGAACCCAGAAAAGGGTGTCGGGTTTGGTGCTTTTCTCCCTCTTACCAGGGTTTAGGAAGAAGCAGTACGAATATGTACGAATAGCAATGGTTATGCTGGCAATCGCAGATAGCATAAAAAGAATAGTACTACACTAGTACAATTACTACTAACTGAGAAGAGCCCGACCCCCAAAAGTGCAGATGTTCACGGTCGCGCTACACATAACAGCAAGTACAGCACGAGAGCGAACAAAAATATGAAAGCTGGATATGGAGAACTGAGCAGCTGTTGCGAACGATCCAATAAGGTTTGGGAGCCGTGGCGTTAAAGCCCACGGCCATCACGCAGTGGTCCAGATCGTCCCTGCCCATGTCACCACATGCGGCAGACGACATGACACCACTGGTGTAGTCGTCCCAGTTTTCTGAATTTACGCACACCGAGACGGGGGATTCCTCCAACGCGGCTGCCAAGCCCTTCAAGTCCTGGTCTTTGCAGCTGCTCCCACGCTTCATGCAAGGTTTCACAGCATAGCTGTAGCCTGTCACGGCTGCATACCCACCAGTGAGCTGCTTGTTGGGGCCATCCATGGTTGCCACCTTATGCTGCGGGCAGGCAGCTGTTTTGTCAGAGTCCGTCAAGCTCTGCACGTAGGGGATGTAGAAGCTGTTGGCAAGGCCCGGCACCTTCTTGAGATATTCATACGCACCCTCTGTGAAGCCCCCGTCGCAGCCCAAGCAGCCGAATTTTCCTTTGCTCCAGGCGCCTGAGCTCTTCTTAAGGAACCTCATTTCTCATGGCTCTGGATCTTTTCTACACATTCCGGTACCTCAAATCAAACTCTACCTATAGTCTCCATTGTAGTTTCTCTTTGGGGTTACCTTACAGGATCCTAATTATATAGTTGGTTAAACCAAAAAGAGGAACCACGATGGAGACTACAGTAGAAGCCAAAAGTTGGAAACCCAATAGCCTCAATCCTTAAGAGTGAGTTATAGAGAGTCCCAGCACTGTTGTTGCCTTAATCCGATTTCCAACTTTTTGGGGTGTACCATATAATAATAGGTACAGTGAAAGCCGAGGCTCAGCTTGTGATCTGCTGGGGCGACAGTGAAATGTCGTATTTGCCGCCCGAGCCCAGAATAAGCTGGGACTCGATGGCTTCAGTCGCGCTAAATGCCCAACAGGACCCGCACCTTAGTTCTCTTTTCATAATGATAAGTAGATAGTTCTAATTCCCCTTTTCGGACTTAAACAACACGCTTCATGTAGGAACCCGATATTCATACAGACCCTGAGTGGTAGGATCCCAAAGCAAAAGCTATCCGAAGAGCAGGAACTTTAATACAGACCCCCAAGAAGCCAAGAAGGACGAGCACAGCCCCATAACAATCTCGGGGCCTGGGGTATACGAAATTTTTCCAGAGAGGGACTACAAGGGGACGGTATCTTATACTAGCTCTTAGAGCACTAAGCCCCGCACTGCCCTTGATTCTTGATGGGCGTCACGGCCTCAGTGAGCCGCCAGTCAACGGCCTTGGCCGTGGCATCGGAGAAGTTCCGCACCGGCGCAACGGGTTCGAAGTCCTCGGGCATCCGGAAGCCCCTCTTGTACCTGGGGTGTTGCTAGGAAACCATACCAATTGCTACTTATCCCTCCCAAAGGGAACTTAGATTCAGGTTTGATTAAAGTTGCTATCTATCCATGTAGTGGGAACTGGGAATTTGATTGAAACTGTTTTAAAAGCACCCAGGTGCTTCTCTTGCTCATGACGATCAGCCATCCAGGTGATGCCGAAGGCGGGCTCCCCGTTGAGCTTGTTCAGGCGATCAACACGTTCCTGCGTGGCCTTGAAGAGCTTGTAGCGGGCCGACTCCTCATCCGTGTTGGAATAGCCTAGGTTCTTGTCGTGTTTCGATTCTCGCGCTGGCGCAAGGAAGGCAAGGATTCACGCCGTCATTTAAGTCTTACGTCACTTGGGTACTACGGATTTGGGCGTGGCTTGGGTCGTTGTGCTGCCTTCTGTAGTGTTTCTTGTCATGTTTCGATTTTTAGGATGTTAGGTAGGGTTCAGGGTTTCAAGTTGCCATGGCAGGCGTGCTTTGGAGCTCTAGTTCTAGATTGTGACTTTACCTGACTCAGTTACCTGATCTCGGAATGAGGTGAGGTATTGTTTGCTTCACCCAGTGGCTCTTCTGGAACTTCTGCTTGAAGGCCTCCCAATCCGGGTCAGAGACAGCAGCGACCGCCGCGGGAAGAAGAACCCAGGTCAAGGCACGGAACATGGGTGCAATAAACTGAAATCTGAAAGTCCTGGTGCTTTTCTCGAGGTTATTAGTTTATTAGTCGAGCCAAAATGGCTGCCGTTGTGGCTAAGGTCCATGCCGAATGTTCCAGAGCTTTCCAGAAATCACCCCTAGTTTATGGGCCTTCAGAATGAGTGATTGTATGCCCTGTGGTCAGAAGGTACCAACTAATTGCTACGTATTCCGCCCCCCGTATAAGGCTGCTGCCCTTGAGCATCTGAGTACATACCCTTCTGCTTGAAACTCAACCCAAGACCTGCAGCACTGGACCTCAAACGCCTCAAACACTAAAGGGACCGCTTTAAACCGGAGGGTTTGGGAGTTGGGGTTTACCTGCAGCCCCCAACCCTACAAAACAGCAGGCAGGTTCGTTCGTTCTCTCTCTCTCTCTCTCTCTCTCTCTCTCTCTCGGTCTCTCTCTTTCTTAGCTTTCCGAAGGGTAGAAGAGGAGGGAGTTGCCCGGCGCTATCATGATTCAGAAGAGCAAAAACAAACCGAATCAAAACCGAAAGCATAGTTCGGAAGAGCAGAAGCGGGAAACTGTTAAACACAAAAAACATCATTCAGAATTAAAAAGGAAGCCAATTACACAAGGTTCAAAGTGACTCTCAGCCATCCCTTCTTGGGCCCCCGGCGCAGTGCTCGGCACACTGGGGGCCACTGCAACCTGGGCCCTGCGGGTAGAGGCCGCTGTAGCCTTCCTGGAGAAAGGGGCTTTCAGGGCTCAGGGGACTTTAAGGGCTCAGGGGGATTTTGATTTTAGTGTCACTCAGGGAGATTCTGATTTTGGTTTTAAGGGGTCACGGGGTTGGGGCTAGGAGTAGCGGCTCAAACGGTGGAGATTCATGCTGCTACACTGCTTCGACACTCAGACGCATCGACAGTCAGTTGTGCGCGGAGCTATTGTACATACCGAACCTGAGAGCTTAGTCATGACTCAAAGCCGTAGGTAATCCGCATGTTTTAGGCCAGAAGTGGCTCTACACAGTAAGACCACCAACCCCTGTTTCTCCCTAGGCTTGCGAGCCAGGGCACTGCCAGGTTCAACGCTTCCTGCGCGAAACAGTTCAAAAAAAGCGACAGGAAGACGGGATCTTTCGCAACACTCGGCAGTGCTTCCACAGAGTCACACTTAAGCCCCTTAAGCCCTCAAAACAAAGTGTGTGTATGATAGGAAAATGAGAAATCGTGATCATAGACCAGCCTATAATAAGCCCGGACAGGTCCTGACCCATTTTCTGGGCAGTCACTATGACGCTGCGGTTCACGACGCACTGCGCGAGGTCGGAAAAGTACACCTGCGAAAACTAGGGCAGCAGCTCATGGCAGTAGTCATCAGAAGGCGTAAACTGCGACAACTGCCATGAAGTTTAAACACGCTGACGAAGAGTATAGTGTCAATGAAGGCAATTGAAGCAGTATACATCCTGAAACAATGTATTGGGTTTCCGAATCACCACCTGAAATCCAGCTGCCAGCTGGCTTTCTGGTCAGGCCCGAAGCTTCAACCGACGACCCACTCTCAGGATCGGGGCCTCCGCCACGTCTCGCGGATCCTTGATTCCATGATGCATGACCTGGGCTACAGTTTAGTCTTTGTCGGCTGCAGGGAGAAGTGACGCAAAAAAGGCATCAAGTGTCATGATTGGTTCAGTCTTGAACACTTGGACAGCCTGGCGGCCGGCCCCACCGAGCTCACGTGCTTGTTCAGGTACACGCCATCATCGACGAAGAAGCTCCTCAGATTCTCTGGCTCACAGCTCGCATGCGCTTCTCTCTCGGCTCAGGCTCTCCATCGTGAGTCGCAACATACCGTGAAACTGGAGCTTGCAAGGCTAAGCAGACCAACTCCCGACTCGGAAAGGTCGGATGCTCACCGAGCCACATTCGTGGCCAGATGGCAAGCAGACAGGATGCCTGGTCATGGCGACAAGCAGAATGCAGAGATCACTCGTCGGCGAAAGGCTTGGTTCCGCCAGCCAGCCTGGTAGAAACCCTTGACCCTCCTCAACAACTCATACAGGTGCCTGGCCAAAACCTGCTTTCCACTAACGGATTATGATGGGGATAGGGGTCCGAAGATTCGCCAAGGATTGCGGCCTTCCAAGAGGACTGCTGTACGAATCACAGTTGTCCATTGAGCGAAAGGTGATATACTGCTAACCAAATCCTGAATTGTACGCTAACATGCAAATCCTCTTCGCAAATGGACAGGGATTGAAGTCGATGTCGAAGCACTGAACCAAACTCTCCACCCACACTTGAAACCCACAAACACCAGACCCGCAATCTTTTCATCCTACACTGATCTGCTCCGGATCCCTGGATCCGAAAAACATATACCTTAAGTCTATAAACCCTACAAGTCCTAAATAAAGCCCCAAAGCCTACCCTACAAACGTTTCAACGCCGCTGAAAACCTTATTTACTATAACTATAATTGCCTATTCACCCTAAACCCTGCAGACCTTTGAACACCATATAGGCCGTTGAAACCCTTCCTCCAAGAACGTCTGCCTCTGCGGAGCAGCCGTGCTCGCGGCCCAGGCTCGTCTGCCCCATCCGCCACATCCTTCCATCGAAGAGTCAACGCTGAGTTTAGGGATTTATCGGGCTTGGTTTGGGGTTTAAAAAGTTCGTGGTTCAAGCTTTAGAGTTTAGGTTGGTTTGGGAGGTTTAGGGTTTGCGGCCAGAACTTTCGACCTGCTGTCACTGGGAAAGCAAAGCTACCCGTGGCAGAAGCCCTAGTTCCAACAAGCGTGCCCTCTCAAGGTTCCTTACTCTGGTTTCCTTCTACTTCCTCTTACGAAGCTCTCAGCCATGAGGAAGCCCTGAGCCGTACACCCCCAAAGCCCAACCCCTAAACCCCGTCAACCCCCTAGACTCCCAAAACCCCCAAATCATCGACTTAAGCCTCCCCTTTTGAAGCGGGCTTGCTTCGTCGCCCCGGGGCTCCCTCTGCTAAGAACGTGTGCCCAAGCAGAGCCGAACTCTCGAAACTCCCCTAACCCCCTAAACCATAGACCTCAGGCCTTAAGGCCCCAAAGCCCCGAAGCCCTTTTGAAGTGCCCTGGCCTGGCCTCGGGGGCCCCAGGACGCGCATCGACTCCTCCACGAAGCTCCAGTAGGGCTGGAGGTTCTCCACCTGCGGTTTCGGCGCTCACACTCGGACAAACCAGGCGAGGCATATGAGTTCGAGTCTGCAGAGTGAAACGACACTAAGAGGCCTCATCACGACATCTCAGCAACAAAGGATAACAACACTTAAAGTAACTGTACCGGTCTGCGAAGCCTCTCCTTGGAATCTCTCTGTTGAAAGCATTCGAAGAAACTGGATTCCAAGGCAGTGGACCAGGCAGATCACTCAGGGTTGGGGTATAGGGATCGAGCCCTACAATATTCAGTAGTTACATATGAGAGGGAAGAGCCGGGTCGACTCGGGCATCGTGATCTGTTGTGAGGATCAAGCATTGCATGATCCCCGCGGTCAGCTTATTACCGACGCTACAAGCACCTAATTCAGACACCATACAGGAGTGAAACTGTGGAGTACGTGGAGTGACCTACATGTTATTTCACTGCTTGCCAAGCCGCCCCAAACTTTACTTGAAGAAAGGGATTTCACTTCCATGCCCACTACTCATAAGTAAAGATGACTTCAGTATCATGCCCCGGCGCTTGGTCCAATGAATTCCAGCATGCACCCCTCAGTTGGTGAATTATGCTCACTGGGGATGTTTAGACATGGTTGAATGTGACGCGAACATCACACTCAATCACATCTAATCACCTCACGGCAGAGTATATCATGTTTTCAGCTCGGTCTCACGTCTGCTAGAGCAGCCAGACTCGGCGCTAATAGCAGAGGAACATGCAGGGTTGGTAAACTTGTACCATAAATTCAAGAGCCCTGCATTCAATCTCTTGCAGTCATGCAATGTAGACCAGCGGGCCTGTCTCATCGGTGGCCATCTGGTTGGGCGTGGCCCCCCATATACTGTATCTCTGGCCAGGCTGTCTGCCATCATGCAGTAAATTCCAGAAAAGGCAGTGGCCTGCGGTATATGGGAGGCGGTTGTCATGCAGCCATCCATGGGGAATCACCACTAGCAATATCCGACCGTGCCAGCTTACTCGCTCAGATCCCCGCCGCATGCAGTAAATTCCAGAAAAAGCCAGCAGGGCTGCGCTCGTAGCGGGAACCCACAGGTAGAGCTCATGGTCAGTCACTGCGTCCACCCACATGGTATGGAGAGCATGCAGATTCATATATTCAGGCTCTTCATCATGGGGCAGCGGAGGCCATGCAGATGCAGTTGTAAATTCCATGCATTCCATCATAGGCAACAGGCATGCAGTGTGTGCCTTCGGGCACGCCAGGCCCACTTTGCAGGGTTCCATGTTTTCAGCACGGGCGCGGGTTAGTGGTTTCTTAAGGAATACCAGCGCAGTACATAAAGAGCCTATGTGAAGTGTGTTCAGCATAAGGATGACGTAAAGCTAGCCACCGATAACTAAAAGGAAAGGGATAAAACATGCTAAAGTGGGGGTTTAATGGGGATGAGGGCACAGTGGACTTGTAGTATAAAGAAGACAGCAAAGTGTAAGAGTTACAATAGAAAACAGAGCTCCAGGGACCTCAAAGAAAGACCCCACACAGACCAGGCTATCCTTGGAGCGTATCTTGCACACACTCCTGCCACCTGTTAAGTATGGGTTATGCCCCCACGACGGCATCCATGGGCCAGGGTAATGTGGCTTGGGAGTCAGAGGTGTAGGAGTCTACTTGGGTGGGCCGGGGGCGCTTATCAGGGTTCAGAGTGGTAACAGAGTTTAAACCATCTGAGTGTGTTATAGGGGGTGGTTCAGCAGTTCTTGTATTGTTCGCTAGGTCTTCTTCACTGTCGCTAAGTACCAAGGTTACTGGAAGACCCTGCTTGAGTTTTCCCACTCCCCATACTTTACGTGATATGTTTCTT